ATTTGCTGATAAATGTGCATATGTGTGAATGTGTGCGGGGGAGGGGAGAGTTGTCAGCTAATTGCGGACTGTGTAACCGATGTCTGCTGTCGGTTGTTTTTTGTCTGTTGTCTGCCGCAGCTCGTCTGCGATATCTTTTAATTTGCCACAAAACGCATCAAATGCGCAAACCACACGAGTGCATGTGTGTGTGTGGGTGAGTTCCACTCTGTGTGTGTGTGTGGGGGTGTGTGCGCGGGCAGTCTGCCAAACCGCCAAGCAGCCAAACCGCTAAGCAGCTGCCAGCCCTGGCCAAGCCTGGGAATCCTCTCACTTTTTCCCAAACACTAGCCATTGTTACTGTGTATGTGTGTGTGTGTGTGTGTGTGCAACGATGATGAAGATGATGCGAGAGCTGTAGAGCTGCCGTGGCCACTGCTGCATGCCTTGGCTGCCCGGCTGGATATGACACAGATTACGTAATGCGAAATTAACATTTTAACACAATTCAGCAGACGAGATTGCAACGGCAGCCAAAAGAAAGAAACTGCAGCAGAGAATGGCAAACGGAGAGAGTCGCAGAGAGTGCGAGTGAGAGAGAGAGAGAGAGAAGGAGAGTAAGACTGGGAGAGAGCGAGAGAGAGAAGCCATGCAACAAATGAGCCACTGTTTGACTGATGATCAGACTTTGTTGTGGCGTGGTCAGCAGACACCCAGCAGACTGACCAACACACACACGCACACACACACACACCGGCACACACACACACACACCGAGACGGCAGCCGGTTGCGCCTCTTGCAGTCAATTATGCAATTAAAGCTTTACATGCGAACAAGTAGCAATCGCAGCCAAATGAGGCAAATTTCCAATGCGCTGGCATCGATTTGACAAAGCGACAGTTGCTCCAACACCAGCGATCCCCCACTCCCCATTCCCCCGTCGACCGACATCTGTGCAGCCAAGCCTCCCAGTGAGTGGCCTGCGGCCAGCAATTTGCATCTTGCAGTCATTATCTCTCCCCCCCTCTCTCGCTATCTACCTCCTTCGTGTCCGATTGACTGTCAACTGTGACGTGTCATCGCCGTAAGTCAGCAGTTTTATGATTCCTTTTAGCTGACCGCCGTCGCTTCTTTTCCCATGGCCAATAAAGTCAGCGCGAGCGATTAGTTTGTGATTTGCAGCAAAGATGAAATTTGGGAAGTTTTTTCGTAAGCTATTGAACAGGCGTAGAACTGTGAATGGTGGCCAAACGAAGTGCAAATACTTTTAAAGTGGGCTTAAAGAAAAATGATCGATAGTGACTGCATTAGTTGGTTTCTCTTAACGATGATTTCAGCTATCGTTACTATCGATTGTTTCAGTTCTGATACTTATGAAAAAACGCTTGCCCATCGATACTAATACTAATCGATAGCTCTCACAGCTTTGCTCGATATGAAAATAAATTCTTCAATGTTTGCTTATGTTTCGATATATACGAAAAAAAAACCAAGAGATAAAAAGCTGATCAATATGAGTATATATTATGAAAGATCAAGTAGTTACATATATCTGCATATAATATATATAAATCTACTTCTTCTTCAGGTTTGCCTGCTACTTGCCGCATTACGTATACGCCGCATGGAGAAGCAAAAAAAAACAAAAACTTCATCCATTCAATTGAAATGAAGTGGCAAAATTGTCTTTTTGCTTGTAATTTTTCTACATTGGCTTTCAATAACAGTCGAGAGGCGAGCCGAGACGCGCTGTCATCATTATCATCGTCTGGAACATCATGATCGCGTTTGGTTTTGCCCGTAATTTGCTAATCATTTCAACTGCCACTTTGGCCAGCAATTTAAGCGCCGCAACAAGGAAGAAATTGTCAACCATTTTGGAGTCATGAGAAAATGCCAAGACAATCTTCAATGCTGGCTATTTATGTGGTGGCGGCAGCAAAGGATGATGCTCAGATTGACCAACAGTGGACAGGCGAGCCAAAAGTGAATGGCAGATGATTTTAACTTTTGCTTTCAGCCATCGCCAACACGCTGCCTTCGAAATTGGCCAACAACGCGCAGTGCGAGCGCCCAACTGTCCAGCATTATTACGGAGGAATCTGTCGCTCTGCTGTGTGTTTAATCAGCAGAGATGCACACACGCCTGACTGAGCCGCTTCGAAAGGGAGAATCAGTGCGATGGATGTACTTCACAGCAGACATGACTTGATTAAGCATCTGCGAATTGTTAATTAATATTTGCCAGCCATGCGTCGTATGCATAGATATGTATTGGAGGTTGGGCAGCAGCTGGCTGGGCTGGCTCGCAGAGGTCATGCAGAAATAAAATTGCTGCAGCCACAACTGGCTGTGTCTGTCGCTTTCTTCTATGGAAATTCCACAATTCGATTGGCCATAAAGCGCAAAGGCTCGTTTAGCAACTGGTTACGTGGTCGTCACCCGCCGCCAAACGCTTCCTGGAAACCACAAAACTGATCACCGTCGCGACAAAGGTGCCATCTGCCAGCTGCCCCAACTGCCTCAACTTAGGCGTCTCACGTAGATGTTGCGGCTCTGTGTCTGCCTCTGCCTCTGCCTTTGCCTTTGGCTCTTCCTCTGCCTCTATCGCTGCCCAGACAAGCATTGCATGTGCCGCATAAATCTTCAGCTCATTTATTTATTTAAAATACAATATACTGCAAGTGCATCCAGCTGCTGCTTGGGTTGGGTGTCTGCACCCAACCAACAGCCTCTTGATTATATAGCAAATGTACATGTGTATGTGCATTTCATGTGATTTGTACTGCGGCCGACGAGCCTCACCTGGGGGCGGCCGCGTGTTGAACTCTTCAGGATATTATTGTCAGCGGCAATTGACTTAATGTCTAGCATTGACTTTTGACTAAACAATGGCATTTCATGCCTTCAATTGTTATCATTAGCACAAAAATCTATGCATATTAACCTTTTCAAGAGATAACGAAACGTGCCTGCTATTTCAAATGAGCCTGCTTTGTTTTCAGCCATATCAAAATGAATACGGCAAGAGAGGGGGGCTTGGTCAGACAATGTTTTCATAGAGTAGCTGATGAGCTGAATACCAATATTTGAAACATAGTCAAACTTAGTTACTTAAACAGTTGCTTAAACAGCAGTGCCAGCGTTTACAAAGCAATTTGCATGCCTTCTCGTATATGGAAAACTCTTTGGCTCTTTGGCTCTTTGACACAGACTGACGCAAACAAACGAAATTCAAATTATGCAAAACAAAGCGATAGCAAGACGGACTTGGGCTGACTGATTTGTGGGGAATTCGATGCTATTTAGGGACTTGACCACATGCCCTCAGCTACGCGAACAGAGGGGCAGCGCATCCAAGCCAGCATAATCCGACTACGCAGAGCGAGGGCTGAGCAATTTGAAATATGGCAGAATAGAATAAGATATAATTTGGGGTAGATCTCAGATGTTTACACTGGCTTACAGGCGCACCAACTAGTTGAGGCTTAGAGCTCAATGAGAGTCGAATAGTGAATAGAGTACAGTAGTAAGGCAATACATTCAACTATATTTGCAAATAAAATATATATATATATATATATATTTTTCGAGATATTTCTTGCGTCACTTTAAGTGGCAATTGCCGGACATTTTAATATATATTTTGTATGGCTTGTGATATGTGTATATGCACTAACAGGTCATTTTTTTTTAGTTGGAATTTTTTAATTAATATAAAAAAAAAATAATAAAAATAAATAATAATTAAATTATTCAAATAATTAAACAGAGAAATCTGTAACTTCTGAACCATGTTTATATTAAAAAAAAAAATAAAAAATTATTGACTTCTAATACTTAGTTCTATTCAGCAACAATCATCTCGATTTCTGTTAAAATTTAAAAAATAAAATTAAAAAATTAAAATAACATAAAAAATTCCAAAGTAGATTCAGGAATTACAGATTTGTCTGTTTGGGCATTGCTAGCTAAATGCGAAATTTGTCAAGCTAAGATATTTAAAAATCATAAAAGTTCTTATAGTAGACATAAGACAGCTTTCGCATATAATAAATACTCTTATCTAAAAATATTAATGCAACATAAAGTACCCAAGCACAACAGGTTCTTTTCACTTATTGCTCAGAATATCTCCTTCAACCATAAGCTAAATCGAATATTCATTTCACAGTCCAATCCGATCCAATAAAATCTCTTTACTCTTTAAATTCCAGTAATTTATAGCATAAATAATTGCTTAGCTCACTTCTCATCCGTTTAGCCTTAAGACATATTTGCAGAAATTTAATTGGATTCACGCAAACAGCCAA